CCCCCTCTCCCATGTCCCCCCGGAACTGTCAGTCCCGTTGTTTTCTCCTCCAGATTGTTCATCCAGCCTGTCCTATCCAGACAGACCTGCGGAGACTTTTAAAGTCTTTTTATTGGGGGCTCATACAACTCATCACAATCCATGCATACATCAATTGTATAAAGCACATTTGTACATTTGTTACAAAGACATTTTTCATAAAAACAAAAAACAAAAACAAAGATGACTATAGTATAAAAGTTTTTAAACACCCCTCCCCCACCTAATCTTAGAAGTTATAGAAAATATCTAAATACTTGCAAGGGGAGTAAATATTCAGTTGAGATGGTTCACCCGCATGAAAATCAACTGAGTGTGTGTGTGTGTGAGTGTATGTACAAGCACACATGCATGAAGAAAAAAAAAAGGACTGAAGAAAGACTCCACAATGTTCATTCATTATTTCAAAATATTAAGCCCAAGTGTATTCATTAAGTGCCCTTGGCTCTGTACCACGGGGAGTCTGGACGGCCAGAGGCAGAACGGGCGAGGAGAGGGTGCAGATAGCAAAGGCAGTCGGGGTGAGTGAGGCCCCAAGGACAACTGTAAAGACACCCCCCCCACCCCCACCCCCGATCCACTTCCACTCCCGTGAGCCAGCATGTCAACCTGTCCTTCCCATCGTGGGCCAGACGACCCCTGGGGGGCGATGGAAGGATGTAGGGTGGGGAGGGTGGACTCAATGGCCCCCAATGAGAACACTTGGCCCTGGATGATGGGATAGTGCACAAAAGCTTCCCACTGCCGGGGCAGTGGGGGTGCGGGCATGAGCTGAGTAATTCTTTTCCCGAAAAGGTCAAGTTTCATACCCCCTGACCCAGAGTTTCAACCATCAGCACTCTGACCCCGTTCTTTCCCGCCTAGTAAGAGATGCACCTTTATCCAGTGGGTGCGGCCCGTTTTTTCCACTCTCACTGGGCAACATTGCCACCTTGTGGCTTCCTTCTGGTGGACCGATGCCTCCCTTCCTCCTGGGAACCGCACTGTGGTCGCAAGTGTGGTTTATAACGTCTAAAGGGGGATTACTTCTGGGCTGAGCTGCCCACCTTTGAGAAGACCGGATTTAGTCGTGACATCACCGGCGAACCACATCCCCAAATCCAAATGCGACTCAGAGCGACCCTAGAGGGCAGGGCGGAGCCGAGCTTCCCAGGGCTGTCACCTTACAGGACACCAGGTCCGCCTCCCACGGAGCAGCAGGTGGGTTTGAACCGCCGGCCTTTTAGTTAGCAGTTGAGCTCTTAACCACTGTGCCCCATAGCACTGCTCAGGAACTCCACATAATTATCTCTGCATATCTTTGAAGCCACTTGGTGTCCGGCCAGGCAGAGCTGGTTCACACCAGTCTTTCACTGGACATGCTAAGACAGACACTCACCTTCACATTCTCAAATGTTAACGGGCAAGTGGAGGAGGCACGGATTCCCATCTTGTTCTCAGGTCTCCCAATGTGCAAGCCTTCAGTGTCCCGGTCTACCAGGAAGCAGGTGATGCCTCTGTAGCCCTGCAAGGCAGGTTCACACTGTCATCACCACTCGGGTTTCCACCCACCTGTCCTCCACAGCTCAAAGCCAACCGAACCAGAACACGGATGTCCCAACAAGTGGGGGCGCCCAGCAGCGCAGAGTGCACATCTGAGAGGAGTGACCCGAGGGGTCAAGTCCCGAGTGAGTCGACCCTGGACCGCGTCTCTGCTTCTTCAGAAGCCGGCAGCAGAGCGTGAGGGTCTTCAAGTGCCCGAAGGGACCGGATTTTATGATCCTGAGAAGTCCATGCCTGACTCTTCTATTAACTATGCCAAAGCTTTCACAATGAAATGCTGTGAGAAAAGACTGTGTACTTGCCATTTTCTATGATGTGTCTTCCAGCCAAGTGGAAAGAATTAGTCTTAATAATGAAAAGTACAAAAAGAGTACTTACAGCCTTGATTTTTGTAAAAGAGAGAGACCTGTGCAATTTCCCATATCACGCTGCTCTGGTGCAAATGCCAACTCACAGCGACCCTCTAGGACAGGACAGAACCACCCCTGTGGGTTCCGAGATGGTCACCCTCTACAGGAGGAGAAAGCTTCATCTTTCTCCCTCGGGGTAGCTGGTGGTTTCAAACTGCTGACCCTGTAGACTGCAGCCCCATGCGTAACCACGATGCCACCAGGGCTCCTGAGACCACATATTTAGGAGTTGACCAATAAATGGTCTTCCACATCGTTAATAATTGCACCCAAACTATTTTAGAAGATTAATAAATAAGAGGGCAAAGAGATGCCAGCTTTTGTCTCCCAGGTTCCGTCCTGGAGTGAGTAGACAGAGAAAGAAGGGAAGAGGAAGGGGAGGGGGGCGGAGGCAACTTACAAGGGCAGGGTCAACATTGGCCATCACCAGGAAGAGATCTGCATACTCGGCATTGCTGATCCACATCTTGGACCCGTTGATGACATAACAGTCTCCCTTCTTGTCGGCTCGGGTCTTCAAAGCAAACGAGTCACTGCCTGCTCCAGCCTCTGACAGACAGAAGCTCCCCACCTGCGCATTCGAGGAGGTAGACAGCCTTTATAACCCCGTCCAGCACACAGTCACCTGGGCCCAATGGGCTTTTGGGAATCACACCTTCAGGGACATCTAAAAGCCTGTGCTCCCAGCACGGCCATGGTATTATGGCAGCACCGAGTTCTCAGTGCGCCCTCCTGTTTATCTACGAGGGCGGAGTTTGTTTACAACTACCGACCGAACAGGGCGGCCTGGGGGTGAAGCCCTCAACAAAGGCACTGGTCGGGGTTTAGTCTCTGCGTTTCCAGACGGTGAATGGGGAGGGGGAGGGGGGCACGTCTCCAGCAGTAAGGCTGGGTGAAGCCCTGCTTCGTCAGCCAGCAGTGCTGCCTGTGGTCTGAGGGTTGGGGTCACCTCTGCCTCTCCTCTTAGAGGCGGTCAGACCCACTCGAGCCATGCGTCCTGCTCACCTTTTCTGAAGCCAGCTGGGGCAAGTAGGTGGCCTTCTGGGCTTCCGTGCCGTGCTTTTTGACCAGTGTGTTGATGATGGTGTTCTGGATGTCACACAGGACCGCCACCGATGCGTCCACTTTGGCCAGCTCCTCTATCACCAGGATGGATGAAAAAAACGAAGCGCCCGTCCCTCCGTATTTTGTGTCAACTTCAATACCCATCAGCTAGGGGGGAATCCAGCCCACAGTGGTTATCAGTTATTTTGGCAAGGAGAAATTTCTCGAAAGAACAAGTTAAAAAACAAACCAGAGCCATGCCCTGTCTGGATCTTGAAGTTCCACCTCCAGTTTTCAATCTGGCAAGGGTCAATTGCTGTGTCACAAGGCACAGGAACAGAAACCCTTTGGTTGAGGAGGGTAAGACGACATACTTGGAACTATCATTTGCTTCCTGTTGGATCTGGGTCTGAAAACACAATGCTGCGCAGGTTAGCCGGGCGGACCCCCACTGTGACGAAATATCTGACGTATTATAAATAGAGCCGCATGACCTTGCTTGCTACAAACTGCCAGCTGTCTGCTTAGAGACTGGAGACAATGCATGGGTCCTTCTTCACTATGGCTGCTCTTGCCGGCTCTCTAGGAGGCACCGGAAGCTGAAGACAGTGACCTGCCCCTGGGGGGCCTGTGCCACCTCACTGGGCCGAACTTTTCCAGTCAGGCCCTTGCATCTCGGTAGTCTAATGGAACCGGCCATTCCTTCTGGGTGAATGCGCCAGATGGTGACCAGTCACGCTTGGTGGTTGGAGTCACACAAGACGAGGCACAGTAGCCCGGCCAAGGTGACCAAACCCTGGCCAAGGCTTTCCCACAATCCTGTGCCCGTCAGATGTTCTCTGACCACTTGCAAGTCGGGAGCAGGAAGCTGTGGCCGCCATCACCACCAGCCCCCATCTCACTGAGGCGTCAGAGAGAGAATGGGGGTCCGTGACTTCCTTGCCTCCAAGCCACTCACAGATAGAGGGATGGTGCTTCCGTCCCATCACACACGCAGGGACCCTCCTTCAGGCTGGGGCCTGGTGGTCAAGTTGCATGTGGAAGGCAAGTCTAGCTGTCGTGCGGGGGAGGGGGGCATAGAGGGGTCGGAGGGAAGGAGAGATGGCATTCTGTGAGGGAGCACGGAGGGCCTGGTGTGCCCCAAAGATGGAGGTGCTAAATTCTCAGCCTCTGGGACCTTCTTTCTCTACACAGTCATACCGTCTTCCTCAATGGAAAGTGGCATCTTTGTGTGACCGCTAGGCAGGTGACGATGGAACTGGGACCAGAGGCGTCAGGTGAGGCAGAGAATACCTGGCCCAGCACTGCACAGCCAGACTCCCAGGGGAGGCTCAGTGTCGGCAAGAGCGGTTCAGGGAGCTGGGCAGCCCCCGGCAGGCACAGGCCCTGGCTACCCACCGGGGAGAGCAGTTTTCCAGTTGTCACACCAGGAGGTCACAGGGAGAGCGAAGGCAAAGTCTGGCTGCAGAGTGGACCCACTGACTCTTGTTTTACACCAGTCTTGGCCCCGAGTGGTTCCATTTGCCCTGCGTTCCACAGCTCAAAGGCATTTGGAAAGTAATCACTGGCATAGCAAAACCGAATTCACTGCAACGGTGCTAGCTGAGTGACAACGACCCTATGGGACAGGGCAGAACCACCTGTGCGTCCCAAGGCTGTGTAACGCGCTACAACAGCGGTTCTCAACCTGGGGTCGAGCGGCCCTTTCACAGTAACAAAATTATAGTGATGAAGTAGCAAGGGAAATAATGTTATGGTTGGGGGGTCACCACATGAGGAACTGTATGAAAGGATCGCGGCATCAGGAAGGATAGAAAGCCTCATCTTTCTCCTGAGGAGCTGGCTGGTGATTTTGAATGGCTGACCTTGTGGTCAGCAGCCTCATTGGTAACCACTATGTCACCAGGGCTCCTTCCTATGGGGTGGTTGTGAGTCGGAAATGAGGTGATGCCGTGGGTTTGGTTTGAGCCTGTGTCTGATGCACCCACAGCCACTGGTGTCACGGTCATCCTCCAGCTCTACCACCATTTGTGGTACTGAAAAAGTTTGTGTCTTTCCGACAGGGAGAAATAAAGCTCCCTGCCGAGTAGAACTGGTTCTTTAGCAGAGGATGGCAGCCAGGATTCAAGGCAATGGCTCGAAGTAGCAGCCAGTGTCTCTGTGCTGGCTGTGTCGTCGCTAGGAACCATCAAGGTGGTTCTGACTCACGGCAACCCCCGGTCCAACAGGACAAAGCACTGCCTGGTGGGTCCTGTGCCAGCCTCACCATCGTTGCAGCTTGGGGCCCATTGTAGCCACGGTGTTCCATGTGGCTCTTCTCTTTCACTGCTGTTTCCCAAGCATGAGGCCCGTTCCAAGGACTGGTCCCTTCTGATATCATGTCCACAGCATGAGAGACAAAGTCTTTTTTGTTGTTGTTGTTGTTGTTTTTAATCATTTGATTAGGGGCTCATACAACTCTTATCACAATCCATACACACATCAATTGTGTAAAGCGCATTTGTACATTCATTGCCCTC